AGAGCTGCATATTTGGCCAGCTGATGTCCATCAGTGTGGCCCTGCTTGGGTTGACGTTCTACATCCGCTTCCAGCAGATACGCGATTTCTGCAACCACTTCCCACACGTACCCAAAGTCAGGTTAGTTATCACCAGAAAATCAATAGTGCTTTTTTTTACTTCTTACCGAGTGTATTTATTAATATGCTGTACGGAAGCATTTTTTAATTGAAGTGCATGGCAAATTTTATCCTGAATTTTCGTAACAGTGAATGGAAGACCATCTTATGCATGATTAATGTATGGCTGCTTATCTAGTATTTGACTAAATCCAGTGAATTTACGAGTGATGCCTTTTTTAATTATGGTTTTATAAAAATCGTCGATGAGTTGCAAATTTTATTTTTATTACTTTATTTTTTGGCAGGAAATTGAACAATGTGAGCTTCCCTTTGGGCTTAGTGGCGACGTTCGGCATGAGCATGGTGTCCAACTTCCAGGAGACGTCCGTCTTGGCTGGCCACTACACAGGCGCCGTCATGGCCTTCGGCTGCGGCACGGCGTACTTTTGGTTCCAAGCCATCGTCAGCTACGAACTGGCGCCGCATCTGAACTCCATTCGAAAAGCGCACTACCGGATCGCCTTGGCTATAATTTGCACAGTCTGCTTCATCATCGCTTGTGGCTGTGGTCTTCTGGCCCGCAAATACTACCACGGACACGATCCGCTCAAGTGGTACCTGTCGTAATTTTTGTGTTGCTGTTTTTACAAAAAAAATATTCCAGATTCCATTTGACCATTCCCGTACTGAAAATAACTCATATCTGCAGTAATAGGTGTAAATATCGAAGCAAAATATCGTTTTTACTCAAGGAACATGCGTAAGGTGATCGCCCGAATTTTCCGACGTTGAATTTGTATAAACATGTATCCCTGAGTAAGACGCGCACCTCTTTTTAGAATAAAAATTGAAACAAAATGAATCAAAATATAAATTTTGACTTGAATCTTTGGAAAATTGAACGATAAATTTTCGCCAATTTCATTTTTAATTGTCTGTTAAAAAATTCTCTGTTTGAATCAAGTATGAGGTGCACTAAAGCTTCAAAAGAAAAAGAAAAATGTTATACCCACTCGTGACGTGAACCCTCTTTTTTCCTCTTTTCAATTTCGAAAAAAAATGTGCGTGGTACTCGAGTGAATGTATTACGTACAATCTCGAATATTTCCCTACAGGTACCCGTCGGACGGCGGCTGGGGACTCCACGTGACGTCCACGGGCGCCGAGTGGGTCATGGCCCTGTGTTTTGATATTTTTGTAGCCAGTTTTGTGAGCGAGTTTAAGCGATTGTTGGCGCGTCCTCCGGAGTTCCTGCTGGACGTCGAGCACCTGGGCATTGGACGGAGTCTCAGCTTCGACCCGGTCATCAACGCATGAATCTTGTTTTCCGTCGTCGCAAAAACTTGCCGTCGAATCACTTTCTGCTGCGAGTTTAGCAGAAATTGAATAATTAAGGACCTTTGAATCCTGTGTGAGCGAAAATCAGAACTTTCTTCTGCGATTTAAAAACAAAAGTGAAGCGCAAAAAAGTGGAGCGATGCAGTGAGATATTTAGACAGACAATTTGATTCGTGATCAAATTGATGCATAGGCAATAATTTTCAAATTATTCGAATAACCTGAAAA